AAAAGAAAAATGTAAGATATTTCACTCACATCAGATGGTTACAATTATAAGCCTGTGTCGAGCTTTGTAAAAATTACATACTATTATCTAAACTAGTTTCTACTATAATTTAACTAATTAGTATATTTAAGCGAAAACCTAAAGAAAAAAAAAAGCTCTTTGACATCAGTACCATACTCTAGCACTATAAACTCTCCAGCTTCTTTTATTTAAACTTCCATAGAAGTGTAAACAAAAGCATGCTTTAGGCACTATAAAGAAGTCAGAAATTCGTACAGTTGGTCTCGAAGTATTGTTTGTCTGGGTTGCCATTTCCAAGGCATGTAATCCAGATGTTTACGTTCCATTTGAATCTACGTGTTTGTTGTGACAGGTAAAAAATAAACAATGCTGACTGATTTTGTAAGTAAACAATATGTTGATCTTTTGAAGAGGATAAGCTAAATCATTCACTTTTTTACAAAATTTTCCCTGAAAAAAAAGTGGAGGGTCAATGAGAATATGTGAAGTTCTTCTTATAAGTTTTACAGTTGTATAGTTCAGTTTTCAAGTATCTACTTGATATCTTTGCCCAGAGACTTGCTCTACTTGCTTCTAGAATAAACTTTTTAGTTTGGATACTGAATGTGTAAGAGAGTCTGTCAAGAAGAAAAAAACTTAACCCAAGGCACAAACCCATCTAATATTCTTAGATGCCTGCTTCTTGATGTTTCATGTATTGTAGGCTTCGTCGACAACAAGTTTGCTTAGCACAAAACCAAGAATATTGCTGTGTTCACTATGTCGCTTTCCTATATTGCTGACTGTAGTTTGGTAAATTGTTGTTGACCAAGTGATCGTCAGAAAGAATTTTTTTGAAATAAAAAAAATATATATATATATTTATTCTTTTTTTTATTTTCTTAACAGTAATTTGCTTTTGTACTGTAATTTTTATTTTTCTTTTTATATATTTTCTAATTTTTAAATTCTACTTATTTTTTTTTTACTTGTTTTATATTTGCTACATCTTTTTTTACTTGTATTTTTTATTTTTTATTTTTTTTCTTCATTTCAGTTTTATTTATTATTTTTTTTTCTCTTGATTTCAACTTTATTTATTTTGTCTTTAATACTAAAGTTGTAAGCTGATTTACTACTTTCTAAATCTGACTATTGTCAAATTAATTAACTTTTTTGTTGTAAACTATAGACTATACTGTATTCTCAAATATTAAAATAAAAATATTTATAAAATATTAAACAAATTAAATTTATATTTGTTAATTTTTAAACTAAAATATTTTAAAATTTACTAACCAATTAAAAAATTATTTTAATTAAGAAAATTTATAATCATACACGTGGTGTATGTACACGGCTATTAAATTGCAAATCCGTATAACATGCAAATTAAAACAATTTTTATAAAACAAAAATTAAACCCTGCATATAGTTAGGGTAAGGGTGTGCTTGAGATTGGGACGGAATTATAATTTATACCAAATTTCGCAAGGAATATTTTTTGTTAGAAGCCAAAAGGTGATTTCATCGGTAATATTTTAAAAAAGAAATATGTTTACGTTACACCTGATCGTGTAACATAATTGACTTTTTAATAATACCCGTGTACAGACAACCCTTGTACAAATAGAAATGCTCTTTAATTAATTATATATACTATATAATTACTTTAAATAATTAAATTTTTAACTTAAAAAACAATAAAATTGTTCAATAAAAAATTTTTCAAAAATTAAAAAACTTTTAACAAAAATTTATAAAATATATACTGTATATAGTAAAAAATATATACTGTATTTAAAATTTAAAAAATTACTATATATATTTTTTTAAATAAATTAAATTCTAGTATTTTTTATAATAAAATTTAATGTTAACTCATTTTGACCCATAAGTAACAGCAACCATTAGAACATGTTCTATGACTGTTAGATATTTAATTTTATTCAATTTTTGATTGGCCGATTGTATACCACGTGAACCGCTACAAAAATGCCGTGTAACGGGAAGCAAAAAATAAATCCCTCCTTTAGATAAAAACTGTAAATCATTTGTAAAGGCAAAAATAATGAATGTCTAAAGCATAAAGAATCAATAAATGTGCGAAACCTTTCTCGTATCATTCTATTCTTCTTCTTCAGCATTCTTAAGCCAATCGACAAAAACTGCGCATTTCTTTTTCACATCACTAGAATCTTTAGCCTGATCGTACCATTCCATAACCGAATCTTCTTCCACATAATCTTTGTCGTAAAAAGCCTTAAAAAGAAGCGGTGCCTTAGGTAAAAGGCTTGTGTTACGTTGAGTCATAAACTTTTCCCAAGATCTAAGAAAAATAACTTGATCTTGATTTGAGCGAACGAACTTTGAGAATTAAAAAAGGATATTAGAAATGAAATATTTATAAACTAAACAATAATTACATAATAACATACAGTTTTAAATAATTTTTCCTTTCGAGTGAGATCTTTGTTTACAACTTCCCATGATGCATCATCATACATGCTTGGAAGTAATATATTAAATAATTGTGACTTCGATAAATCTTTCCTCGTTTCGATAAGAGTAATTTCCTTGATCTCTTCCGAAATAGGTTTATTTTGTTCTGAAGATTGAACAAAAAATCGCTTAAGATCCGTGATGAGCACCTCTTCATTAGAACGTTTATCTACAGCTGCCGTATTATCTGTTTTTTTGCTGAATAATCAATAAAGACATGGATGTAAGTAATAAAACAAATTTAATAAAGTATCGCATACTCTAAGAAATATGCAATCCCTTAACAATTTAAATTTCTGTATGCTATCATCCTTCTACCTCTGCTATGATGAGATTTAGATTGCTTATTTCTAGGAGTATACATTAGCATAATAATAAGTATCGAATCCTTATACATTTTTCCAAGTTGTTCTCGTTCGACGTTAGACAACTCAACCACTTGCATCCATGGCTTTTAACATAATAGAAATTAACAACTTTATGAATAATCATAGTATGAAAGTTTTAGCAATTGTTTAAATGATTACCTTCTCGTCAACATCAAGTATATCTTTTCCATTTCGACGTTTGGTTACAGCAATAACTTTGTTGAAAGAATTGGCATGCACGGAAGGATTTTTTTGTTCGTTTACTTCCTCATCCTGCGTCTTTGAATCATCATCGACCTTCTGTTCGGATAACGCTACTGGTTTTGACACATCATCGGTTTCATCTTCAAACTTCCCTGCTTCATTATGAGTTTGTTCCACTTTTTCAGATTGCGTTCCTTCTGTTTGAGGGCTAAACACGACATATTGGATGGAACGACAAATAGTCTTAAAAAAGTATATTAAGATATTAACATTTGATAGGCCTGTTATGCCTGCCATGCATCAAACAAATAAGCATACAATAAAATTGGACTAACTTTGACTTTACAATTTGATGTGCAATTGTTTTTTTTTTTTTTTTTTTTTTTTTTAAAAAAAAGAAAAAAAAAAAAAAAAAACAAAAAAAAAAAAAAAAAAAAAAAAAGAAAAAAAAAAAAAAAAAAAAAAAAAAAAA